GGAACGAAGTACGGTCGGGGCCGCGCGGCGACGCCAGAAACAACAGGAACAGCACCAGTACCCCCAGCAGGAGCACCCACTATAGTAGCACCTCCAGCAACACCAGAACCTCCAGCAGCAGCACCAGGAGCACTGTCAGTCGGACCGCCAGCGGCAGGCACAGCGCCAACACCCTCAGCAGCACCAGCTCCAGGAGAACCCTCAGACCCAGCAGCTCCAGCACCCACAGTACGAGCACCTCCGGGACGCGCGGCAGCAGTACCCTCTGCAGCCGAAGAACCACCAGCACCAGCAGCACGCCTCCAGCGCCTAGCAAACCACTCACGCAGCTCCTGTGGGGAGAGTGGCTCCCGGCGAGACGAAGCACCCCCAGGCACAGCACCCCCAGGCTCAGCACCCCCAGGCTCATCACCCCCAGTCTCCGCACCCCCACGCTCCGCACCCCCCAGCACAGCACCCCCAGGCACAGCACCCCCAGGCTCAGCAACCCCAGACTCCGCACCCCCAGGCTCCGCACCCCCAGGCTCAGCTCCCGCAGCAGCACCAGAGTCACCAGTGACCTCGACAGGCTCGACCGCGTCTACCTAGGACACACCTGAAGGGGCAGGACCCTGAGGGGGGAGGGGGTCTACCGGGGGGGGACCTGGTACCAAGAAGAGCGGGGGTGGGGGGAGGGACGGAGTGCGGTAGGGGAAGAGGCGGTAGTAGGGTACCGACTCGTCGAACGTGACGTCCTGGGAGGACAGAACACGTCGAGAGGTGGGGTGGTAGAACTGCCACCCAGGGGCGTCGGGGGGGAACCCCAGGAAGACGCAGGGAGCAGCGCGAGGGGACAGCTTGTCCGCAGACAAGTCGCGGACAAACGCCCGAGATCCCCAGACCCGGAACGCCGACGCATCGCCAACCTTCCCCGTCCACAGCAGGGCTGGGGAGGTCTCCGGCCTGGAGACCCTGGGGTGGAGGTTGATCTGATGCGCGGCATACCTGACCGCAAACGGCCACAGAAAATGGCGGGGAAGCCGCATGCATCATGGACGTACGGGCGACGTCCATGACCATGCCAATGCGGCGCTCAGCAATCCCATTTTGCTGCGGGGAGTCCGGAAGCGTGAAGGACTGGCGGATGCCTCGCGCACGACAGTAGGCACGCAGAAGGCCAGAGGAGAACTCTCCGCCTCTGTCCAAGTGCAGACGCAACACAGGAAAGTCGGAGCCAAAGCTCTGCCTGAGCTGAAGACGAGCTGCGCGGATCCAGTCGATCAGCACCTCAGTGACCTCACCCTTGCTGCGCAAGGGGAAGACCGTGGTGTAACGCGAGTAGTCGTCAACAACGAGCAGGAAGTAGCGCTCCTGACCCTGTCCACGGACGCGGGCTGGGCCCCACACGTCCATGTGAAGCGTCTGCAACGGGGCCTCTGTCGGAGGAAACTGGGAGGAGTGAGGGGCAGCACGCTGGCGCCCCTCGACACAGGGGACACAGGCAGGGCCAGGGCCCTGAGGAAGGGGAGGTAGAGACCGGGGCAGACCAGACACAAGAAGACGGGAGGCCATGCCTCTAAGCCGAAGCAGAGAGGGGTGGCCAAGGCGGTGGTGCCAGAGGAGGGTCTCGTGAGACAGACGACGACACGAACAGGGGGCAGACTCAGGACCAGACCTGGACACTGCGGCAAACACCTGACCAGACGAAGGGACCCTACCAGACTCAGCACCTGGAGGAGAAGCAGTGGTCAGTGTGTACAGGCTCGACCCTGGCCGACGTGTAAACGTAGCCAGGTGGCGTCCCGTGCTAGCCTCCGTGCAGTGGGTCACTCGCTGACGAGCAGGAGTGAACTGGTGGACACCCGCATCCTGTAGGTCAGCACCACTCACCAGGTTCGTCGAGAACGAGGGGAGGTAGAGACCAGACAGGGTGCCAGAGGGGGCCGCAGGACACGGAAGGACCGTGGAGAAGCGAGAGAGGACAGGCCCCCCAGAGGGGTCAGCCAGGGACACCGCAACCGGCCGACTCAGCGGCGTGAGAGTGGTGCGGTCCCGAAAGAAGGAGCGAGACGCTCCAGAGTCAAGGGTGAAGGTGTGAGAGGCCGAAGCCGACACAGTACCTGAGAGGGCAAACTCACCAGTACCTGAGAGCACAGACGCACTGGCACCTAGAGCAGCAGCCTCACTAGCACCTGACGCAGCAGTACCAATGCCCGGGTCGGGCGGGAAACACCGGTAACAGTCATCCTCATCACTACCAGTCACAGCATACATAGCAGAAAGAATAGCATCAAAGTCAAGATCATAAATGACTACACCAGCCCTAGACAGCTCCCCCCAGCGGGGGATCTCAGCGGCCTCCGGAAACTGCTGACGCCAGGCGTCGGTCAGGCGGCCAAAGCAGCGGCGGGCTGCGTGGGTGCCTCCACACCTCTCCCCCGCACGGTCACCGGTGCGAAGAACGTAGGGGCAGGGACCAAACGCACCACCACGCTGACGCTGCAAGTACCACTCACGGAGCTGCTGAGGGGCGGGGACGGTGCGAGAGCGCTGCTGCTGCTGCTGCTGCTGCTGGCGCTGGCCACCCCCAGAGCTGCTCCGCTGGGACGAGCCACTCCGACCCCCGCCGCCACCGCCACTCCCGCCTCCAACGCCACCCCCGTCTCCACCGCCACCGCCCCCACCGGTACCCTCGCCCCCGCCTCCTCCGCCACCGCCTCCGCCGCCACCTCCGCCTCCACCGCCTCCACCAGTACCTCCACTCCCGCCACCACCTCCACCGCCACCCCCACTCCCTCCGCCACCCCCACCTCCTCCGCCTCCACTGCCCCCTCTAGCTCCACCCGCTCCCTTGCCCCCCTCGCCCTTGCCAGAGCGGCGTCTACCGCTGGGGGCAGACGCCGCACCGACCGACTCAAAACCAGCGAGGTCGGCCGCAGCGGCAGAGGCGACAGAGGGCAGCAGGGGGGAAGGAGAACACCCCTCAAAGATGGGGGTGCGAGGGTCACCCCGAGAGGCCCCTACAGCGACGATGCTCTTCTCAGCCGCTAGCAGGGACTCCTCAAGGAGGTCGACAGTGAGGGTGGTGGGACAGACAGAGAGAAACTGGTCCCTAACGACACGAAGGGACTCAGGGAGACGGGTGACGAGAAAGTAGAGAGTGATGTACATGGGAGGAGGGTTTGCGACGCGGAACTCAGTAGGAAGGGCAGCGCGGTAGCGAGCGTCACTAGCGCGGAGGTGGGTAACGAGGTCAGCGACAGTGGGAAAGGCAGCGAGGTCAGGGAAGAGAAACGGTAGCATGAGGCGGCTCAGCGTAGCGGAGGAAGGGGAGGAGTAGCGTGTAACTACAGCGTCGTACAAGGCCTGAGCGGTCTTGCACTGACTAAAGTGGGCACGCTCGGAGGAAGGGAGGTGGCGACGCACAGCAAGACGTGCAGCAGCATCGCGTGTGGCCCACTTGGAGCGAACAGCAGGGTCAGCATCAGCAGGAGGGGCAGGGACAGCTCCAGAGACAAAGTCAAAGAGAGAAACCTCATCGATCGCATCACACAGTAAGTACAGCTGCAGGTCCTCAATCCAGACTGGAAAGTCAATGGCGCGACCCTCAGCGTCAAAAGACAGGACACTGGGGGTGGCCATTGCAGCAGCTGATTGTCTCACCGGGCACGAAGAGTCGGGTAGCACAGCGGCTCAGCAACTCGGCAGAACAGCAGCTGCGCACGCCTCGGAGCAGCAGCAGCCACGCAGGAGCAGGAGCTCGGCTCCTCAGGTTGCCCGGGCGGCTCGGGCGGCTCGGGTTGCTGGGGCGGCGCGGGCGGCTCGGGCGGCTCGGGCGGCTCGGGCGGCTCGGGCGGCTCGGGCGGCTCGGGTTGCTGGGGCGGCGCGGGCGGCTCGGGCGGCTCGGGCGGCTCGGCTGTACGGGCGGCTCGTGCGGCGCGGGCGTCGCGACGGGCGGCTCGCTGGCGGCTCGCGGGCGGCTGCACAGGTGGCTCAGGGACGGCGGCGCGGGCGGCTCAGGGACGGCGGGTGCACGGGAGGCTCGGCGGGCGGCGTACAGGCAGCTCACGGGCGGCTGCGACGGGCGGCTCGCGGGCGTCGGGCGCTAGGGCGTTGGGGCGACGACGGGCGGCGCTCAGGCGTCAGGGCGGGCGGCCGTAAGGGCGAAAGGGCGGGCGGCGCTCGGGCGCTAGGGCGAGCGGCGCACGGGTGCTAGGGCGGGCGGCCGTCAGGGCGCTAGGGCGAGTGGCGCACGGGCGCTAGGGCGGGCGGCCGTCAGGGCGCTAGGGCGGGCGGCCGTCAGGGCGCTAGGGCGGGCGGCGCTCGGGCGCTAGGGCGGGCGGCGCTCGGGCGCTAGGGCGGGCGGCGCTCGGGCGCTAGGGCGGGCGGCGCTCGGGCGCTAGGGCGGGCGGCCGTCAGGGCGCTAGGGCGGCGGCGCTCGGGCGCTAGGGCGGGCGGCCGTCAGAGGAGGGAGCGGCGGGAGCGCGACGGTAGGGGCGACATGCAGGGTCGCTAAAAAAAAGAACGCGCGCCTCGGGGCGCGCTTCGGTGGGCCCTAGGAACAGTCCCTAGGAGGGGACCTGCTCTGATACCATGAGAAGAATTGAACGAGAATGGAATGACTATGAACGAAGTGAGTACAAATAGGAAACCCTGATTGGGTTGTACCCCTTATGGGATACCCCACTAGAGCCTACAGAAACAAGTAAGCTATATGTTCTGACAAGTTTGATGTTTTTGCTCATGACTCAGCATAATTAGCACGCGTGTGTGTCAAGTGGCTCAAGTCACAGCAGGCGTATACATGTATAAAGGATTTTACATTGAATTTTGGAATCCACATTTATGCGAATGAGCACTTGTCCACCAAACATGTTTGCCTCAATGGTACTGGTTTCAAGAATGGCACAACATAAGCTCTCCTGCAGTGAGAGTCAACAGTGGTAAAATTGAGTGCCATCATATGGTGTACGAGCCAACAGGTGGTGTTGGAGGTGGACAACCCCCGGTCTCCATCCACATCAGTGCATTGTCCTCTGTTGAGAGAGGAGGTGTGGTGGCGATGAGCTTGCTGATAGTTGCCACACATGGGGAGATGGTGAGGGAAAGGGAGGCAGAGGGTGGGGGGAAATAGGAGGGAGGGTGAGGAAGGGTAGGGAAGGCAATGGTGGTAGTAGGGGATAGGTATACGGGGAAGGGGGTGAGGAAGACGAGGGACAGGGAGAAAGGCGATAAGGAGAAGGGAAACAGAGAGAAGGGGGACAGAGAGAATATGAACTGAGAGGACGGGGGGATGAAAGGACAGGGGCATGTGAGGACAAGAGGACGAGAGGACAGGGGGACGAGAGGTCAGGGGGACGGGGGGGTGAGAGGACGGGGGGATGAGAGGACAGGCGGATGAGAGGACAGGGGACGGGGGGATGAGAGGATGGGGGGACGAGAGGACAGGGAACAGGGGGATGAGAGGACGGGTGGGTGAGAATGAGAGGACAGGGGGATGAGGGGACAGGGGGGTGAGAGGACGGGGGGACGAGAGGACAGAGGGGTGAGAGGACGGGGGGGTGAGAGGACAGAAGGATGAGAAGACGGGGGAACGAGAGGACAGGGGGATGAGAGGACGGAGGGATGAGAGGAGGGTGGACAGGGGGATGAGAGGACTGGGGGATGAGAGGACAGGGGGACGAGAGGACAGGGGGATGAGAGGACGGAGGGACGAGAGGACAGAGGGATGAGAGGACGGGGGGATGAGAGGACAGGGTAATGAGAGGACAGGGGGACGAGAGGACAGAGGGATGAGAGGACGGGGGGATGATAGGACAGACGGACGAGAGGACAGGGGACGGGGGGATGAGAGGATGGGGGGACGAGAGGACAGGGAACAGGGGGATGAGAGGACGGGGGGATGAGAGGACAGAGGGATGAGAGGACAGGGGACAGGGGGATGAGAGGCCGGGGTAATGAGAGGACGGGGGGGTTTTTCGCGGGAGGGGAGGAAGGCCGGCGGGAGGGGGGATTCCCGGGCGACACGGAGGGCGATGGCAGGGGAAGCGTGGGCGACGGTGGGGGGAAGCGTGGGCGACGGTGGGGGGAAGCGTGGGCGACAGTGGGGGGAAACGTGGGCGACGGTAGGGGGAAACGTGGGCGACGGTGGGGGGAAACGTGGGCGACGGTGGGGGGAAACGTGGGCGATGGTGGGGGGAAACGTGGGCGACGGTGGGGGGAAGCGTGGGCGACGGTGGGGGGAAGCGTGGGCGACGGTGGGGAGAAGCGTTGGCGACGGTGGGGAAAAGAGTTGGCGACGGTGGGGAATAGAGTTGGCGACGGTGGGGAAAAGCGTTGGCGACGGTGGGGAAAAGCGTTGGCGACGGTGGGGGGAAGCGTGGTTGACGGGGAGGAAGCGTGGGCCACGGTGGGAGGAAGCGTGGGGGACGGTAAGAGGAAGCGTGGGCGACGGTAAGAGGAAGCGTGGGCGACGGTAAGAGGAAGCGTCGGTGACGGTGGGCTGAAGCGGGGGTGACGGTCCGGTGAAGCGTGGGCGATGAGCGTGTGTGAATGTGGGGGGAGGCGTGCGCGATGGTCAGCGGAATTGTGGGTGCACCCAGGGAGCAGGAGGCAGCGACGGTAAAGGGGAAGCGTGAGCGAAGGTGAGGGAAAGGGTGGGGAGAAGCGTGGGCGTGTGCGTAGGGTACGCAGAAGGCGAATGTGATGTTTGAGGAAGGGCGATGCCAGGGCGACTGAGTGAGGCAACGTGATACACCGTGGCGTTGCTGTCATACCGAGGCGCTACGACTGGAAAATAAGTCGGGGTGTCTACATTGGCCGAGAGATTGACGGCGGAGGCGGAAGGCTTGGGATACTTTCGCGACGCGCGAGCGTGTGCTTCTTTCTAAGCCTGAGACTACTACTCGCTGCAACGACACTTGGAGAGAACGTGGCGGTTGCGTTAGAGGAAACATAATGGCGGCGGCTCGGTTGCAACTAAAGTCGCCAAAGGTCCCTGATTCGTGTCTTTGAACAGAGCACTTAGACTGAAGATTGCCCGTATGTGACGGGAGAACGACTACTAGCGTGCCTCATAATATGCGTGTCCAAGCGTTCCCAATGGTTTTCAAGTTTACTCAAGGTGAATAGTGCTTTCCTCTGAGGCGTTTTTCCTGCTTGTTGTTCCAGTTTATCGCTGGCCAATCACGGATCACCTCTGCTGCTTGAAACCGACGGTTTGTTCTGAACCAGCTGGTAACATGGTTATTCACGAAATCAACTTCAAGAAACTTGAATTTGAAAAATACCATGTAAAACTCGGGCTTTAAGGGCTACCGATCAGGGCCAAGGCTTCTTGGGATTGCCTTCCCGCCTGCCTGGCACCAAGCAATCATCTGTGGAAGTTGGTGTGGGTGTGCACTGTGACTCATTCGGGATCGAGCTCATCAGCAGGAAAGACTCGAGTCGGGAATCCTAAGCGAGGGGTCCTTCAGGATTCTCAAGATTGCCTCCAGCTTGCATCCAACATCAAGAAAGATCCCCTAGTCGCATTGCCAGCGACGTTATGATACGAGTGTTGGGTTGAAGACAGAGGTTTCAATTCTTCAGTCGCGAGTATGCAGGCTCTTCTTCCTATACCATTTTTACTGCCGAAATTATCCGCATTTTCGTTGCGAGCCCAGTTAATTCCTGATTCGTGTGAACGCGTTAGCTTCGAATCGAGCCTATGGCGCAGCGGCGTTTTCTTAGTCGAAAGTAGCCTTCGGTTGTGTACATCGCATGCGACTGGAGACGCACATGCATGGCTGCCGGCTGCGAAGTCCCGCACGTCTTCCTCCTGGAAAATAAACACGACGATGCGACGCTGCCAGTCTCGCATGCCAGGCATGTCAAATTAGGAAGATTAGAAAGCGTAGGCCGCGTCAACTCGACTGGCGTGTCAGGAGAATTCGTAGGAAACAAGCCGGACGAAATAATGGCTGAAAGACGTCGTACCACATCGCAAAAGCAATTCACGGAGGAGAATCAGGGTTACCCAGAAGCAAACAATTCGCCAGCACGGCGAGATTCTCAGAAATTTCGCGCGCGGTCTCCAGTGCCGGACCCCTCGACAGGAACCGGGATCACGAAAGAACGTCGAGAAAAGCGAAGGTCGAGGGGAAGCTCCTTGGTGACAGACGAATTAGCCTCAGGAGCGACGGCTATGGCGGCAACAGCAGCGGCAGAGCAGCGGCCAGTCACGCCCAGGTCCTCCTCTCTCCCAATCTCGTCCGTCCCTGAACAACCCCCCGCGTTGGACTTTCCTAGAGCGTCAACTTCCGGTGCTGCGCCGCCGTCAGCAGGCGCCGCCGCTGCACGGGGAAGCGCACCGGGAAAGGAGCTACGCAAGTCGCGAGGCGGCTCGATGCTGCTCGACGAGATGCTGCTGGAGGGGCCTCCGCTGGCAGTCAAGGCCGGGCTCGACCGGGGGAGGTCGTATTCGAGGGGAGGGTTACCTGCTGCTCTCGCTGCCGTGGCGGATGAAGCGTCCGCTGCCGCCGCCGCTGCTGCTGGTGGTGGTAGTGGTGGGGGGATGGGGGGAATTGCTGCTGCTGGTGGCTTGCGAGAGGTGCGTCTTGTTTTCCTCCTCACCTCGTCCCTGCTTCCTCTCTTTCTCCCATGATCCTTTGTCGCGAACGGAAAAGGCTGACCCCTGTAGCACAAGGTAGCTTCCCTCGCACTAAGCAAGTAAAGAAGCAATCGAACGTTGTAGCTACGTATGAAGCATGGTTCCACTGATACGCTCCTTCGTCCCTGTGTGCACCGTTCTCCACCCCCTGCAGTCCCACCGCAAGCCCCTCCTAGCTCGTCATCGCTATCGCTCCGCCTCCATGACCGCCGCTGAAATCGCCAGACTTACAGTTGGAGACGCGGGTTCGAATCCTGCCGGAGAACGCAGCCCCAGTCGCCACAACCACCCTCCTCGCAGTAGCTCTCCCCACGCCATTCAGGCGGGAAACTATCCCCCACGTCCCTTTAATGCTCCTGTTGCGAAGCATGGCTTTACTCCTCCTGTTCGTTGCTTTAGCGCGGATGGAGAGGGCCCCGTTGATGATGGCGGCTCTGTGTATCAGAGCCGTGCTGCTGGGAAAGGCAGCACTAATGACCCTGGTGTTGCAGCAGCGAGAATCGCCCAGAACAAGGCAGGAAGGGAGCAGTTGGTGTGGCCGGGCCAGCATAAGGAGCAGGAGGATGAGGAACAGCAAGAGGAGGAAGAACAGTGGGAGGACCAGCAGAAGCAAAGAGACCAGCAGCAAAGGCAACAAAAGTATCCAACGTCTCGAACTGGACATGCTCGGTCCGCCTCAGGGCCCCTCTCCTTCCTTTCTTCTCCTGGTTCTCCCTCTCCCTCCCCCCCACGCTGGGCGGGTCCCAGTAGCCGCCTTGCCCACTCCGCCTTGTCCGCCGCTGCACAAGGCGAACACAGGCCACCGCAGAATCATCAGCGGCAGCAGAAGCAGCAGGCCATGTATGGGCGTAGTAACCGAAAGGAGAAGTTAATGATAAGCAGTGAGCAGGGAGAAAGAGACGAGGATGAGGGTGAGTGCGAAGGCGAGGGCAGAGGAGAGTGGGCGGCAGGGGACGCGGAGTGGGAAGGGGAAACGCCCAAGGATCGCACAGAGTGGTACCAAGAGTGGGAGGACACGAGACCCTGGGGCCATGGCTCCAAGCCAGCTGCTTCTGCAGGTCAGGGTCTACACCATATGCAGCAGCAGCAGCAGCAGCAGCAGGGAAGGCATCAAAAGCAGCAGCAGCCACAGCAGCAGCGCCAATCCCAGCGTGCAGTGAAGGTCCCTTTGCATGGTCGCCCCCGCCGTACCATGTCCGCCCTGCCCTCTGCCGTGCTCAGCAGCGATTTCTCCTGGGACAGTGGCCGCACGGCTGCACTCTCTCGCCTCCGCAACTCCTCTGTTCAGTCCTCTTGCTCGCCCACTCACGCCCACGCTCACTCCCACACTCACTCCCACTCCCAGGCGGCCTACTCTCACTCCCGCCCTCGTTCCCACTTCCGTTCGCCCAGCTGCCAATTACCACTTGACTCCCAGCAAAAACTCTCTTCGGAATGCGAGGATGAGGAGGAGGAAGTGGAGGAGGGAGAGACGCAGGACGCACAGCGAAGGGAGTGTTCACACGGGTCGGATATTTATGGGGATGATGATGCTATGGGTGACGTCAGGGAAGCTGCTATGGATGACGTCACGAGTGAGGCCTGGAGAGGGGAGGAGGTGCAGGGGGAGGAGAGAGCGATGATGTCAGCAGCAGCAGCTGCCATGCTGGACCTCGAGCTGTCTGACTCAGCAGAGGAAACTGCCACGGAAGATGAATGGATAGGGTCAGGGCGAGGGAAAGGGAGCCGTGCGGCTGGTTTCAGTTCCGGTGGTTCTGCTCGTTTGGGTGGTTCTGGTGGTTATGATTGTTACGATGGTTCTGGCCGTTTGGTTGGTTCTGGCCGTTTGGTTGGTTCTGGTAATTCGGAGCATTCCGGTGGTTCTCTTGGTGGTTTGCATATGGATGGGGGGGGAGAGGGGGGATCTTCACAAAGGCAACGAGATGCCAGCCACCTTCAGAGCGTATCAACTCCTCAAAGGTCGCGAGAAACGCACGCAAGTAGGCTGAAATCGGGGCGTGCACAAGGCGAGAAGTTAGGGTTAGGCCACGTGTCAATGTCACAAGGCCTGAAGCCAGGCCACATTCGGAGCAGGTCAGTGGGTCATGGTTTCGGGCACAGGGAGATGGGCGACCGTCTCGGTAGCATGGGAGAGGTGGAGAAGGAGGAGGGGGATTCCCATGAGTTGGCCGACGAGGAATCTCAAGAGTGCGACCACAAGGGCTTGGAGAAGAGTGGAAGTAAATCCGGAGGAAGCGGTTTCAAAGGAAGGGAGACTCGAGACGCCCGATTGCTGACCTCTGTGGGTCGATCGGGTGCAGAGGAGTGGCACGGGGAGGAGCCTTTTGAGTCGCCTGGATTGGGCGTGGCTGAACGTGAGAGTGATGGTTGGAAGGCTGGCCCGTTCACCCCTGTGAGGCGGCATGGGCAGAAGGAAATTTCGGCACAGCAGAAACGGCAGGAGAGGCAGGAACGGCAGGAGAGGCAGGAACGGCAGGAGAGGCAGGAACGGCAGGAGAGGCAGGAACGGCAGGAGAGGCAGGAGAGGCAGGAACGGCAGGAGAGGCAGGAACGGCAGGGGAAGAAAGGAGAAGGCGCTAGGGATAAGGGCAGAGGGGAAGAGGGAGAGGGCAGCAAGGGCAAGAGCAGAGGGGAGAGAGAAGGGACGCTCCGGAGTAAGGGCTGGCGGAGTAAAAGCGTAGGGGGGGTTGCTGGAGAGGAGAGGGTATTGAATGGTTGGGGGCAGCAGGAGGACAGGGACGGGCGCAAGGTGAATGAGAAGGGGAGTGGCAAGGGGAGGGCGGATGGGGAGGAGGTGAGGGTTAAAGGAAAATGGAAGGCGGGTGAAGAGGAGGTGAGAGAAGCTTGGGACGCAGTAGGAGTGATGCTGAAGGTACGAAGGGAAGGGGGGAGACGGAAGGATGCCGGAAGAGAGGAGAGGGGAAAGGGGCAGGAGAGGGAGGAGGTAAGGCGAGATGGAGTAGATGCAGATGATGCTGTTTGTACGGGTGAGAAGGGGAGTGCCCCTGCAACGGGTTGTGATCCTGTTTTTGAGTCGACTCAATTTTCTAGTCGACTCAAAAATAAACTCACCGATGCAGATGATGCCGTTCGTGGGGGTGAGAACGGAATCGGCCCGGCAACGGGTAGTGATCGGAGGGAGGGGAGCAGCAAGGAGGGAAGCAGGAGTAGTCACGGATTCGGCAGTCGACGAGATTGGGAAGGGGGAGACAAGATGATGGTTACGAAGGAACAGAGGCAGGGGCAGCAGCAGCAACAGCAGGAGCAGGAGCAGCAACAGCAGGAGCAGGAGGAGGCGCAACCTCCACCTCCACCTCCACCTCTAGCACAGTCACGGTCCAGGCTCACTCGCCTCCCCTCCGCCTCTCTGCTCGCCTTTCATCTGGACACAGGCACCCCTCTCCCCCTCGCCTCAGTCGTCATTCCCCCAGACATTGCCGACTTTCTCGACACTGACCCCACGGGCAGCCTCAAACGGGCAGGTGAAAGTTTTCACCCAGGACTGGGTAGCAGAGGGGAGGGAACAGAGGAGAATTCAGTCACTGTAGCTCCTGCTCCCGTTCGAGCTTGTACCGCACCAGGGGCAGCTACAAACGAATCTTCTGGAGGACTTGCCCATAGCCGCTTGGCACGAGTGCAGGCGGGGGAGGCAGGTGCTTCTGAGACTGAGATGGTTCAAACAAGAAAGGATGCTTCCCCAGCAGGGCCAGAGGAGGGGATGGGAAAGAGCTTGACTGTGAAAGAGGGGGCCATGAGGAAGGGGCTTCTTTCTGGCACGCTGGCAGAGCTTGGGAGGGGTAAGGATGATGATAGAGGGAGGGGTAAGGATGATGATAGAGAGAGGGGTAAGGATGATGATAGAGAGAGGGAGGGAGGAGACGGGAGTGGGGGGCTTGGGAAAGATGAGGGCTGGGGAGTTGGAAAGGTTGTGTCTGGGGAGAGTGGGAAAAGTGGCAGCAGCAGGAGGGTTGGGAAGGGAGGATTTGTGAAAGCTGCTACTGTGCAGGATAGGAGGAGGGGGGCAGGGAGAGAGGGAACAGGCAGCAGTAGCAGCGTATGTGAGTTGGAGGGAGAGAGCTTAAATGGGAAGGGACAGGAGAAGGGGCAGGGGAAGGGGCAGGGGAAGGGGATTGTGTGGGGAAGGATGGCGAGTGTTCAAGTGCTGGGGAGAAAGTACAATGGAGGGAGGCTTGATGAATGGGGTAAGAAAGGGAGTGAGGCATGCGCTGACCGCATTGACCCTGTTGACCGCGTTGACCCTGTTGACCGCATTGACCCTGTTGACCGCGTTGACCCTGTTGACCGCGTTTACCCTGTTGACCGCGTTGACCTTGTCGACCGCGTTTTGTTCGCACAGCGAAAGGAGGACTTGTACGGCCGGTCAAAGAGCCAGCCAGGGATACGGCCGAAGACCGCCGACCCAAGCTCACGCTCTTCTGCCTCTGCTACTGATGATGGTACTTCTGCTGCTGCTGCTGTCGCTGTAGTTGCCTCTGTCGCTGCCGCTACTAAATCTTCCTCTGCAGCGAAAACTGTCAAGGCGAAAGGGCTGAGGCATGCTGTTAGTATCAGTAGCAGCAGCAGTGGCATCAGCAACATCAGCAGCAGCAGCAGTGGCAGCAGTGGCATAATTCGTGGCAGCAGCAGCAGCAGTGGCAGCAGCAGCAGCAGTGGCAGCAGCAGCAACAGTGGAGGCAACATGGGTGCCAGTAGTGTCAGCGGTGGCAGCAGCATCGGTGGCAGCAGCATCGGTGGCAGCAGCAGCCGCATCCGGCGCAGTGCGAGCAGCATCCCCAGTCAAATGGAGGGCGGGTCGAATCCGAAAGGAGGGCAGTTTGTGAAGGAAGAGCTCAACTTCATCATTGATTCGTTCCTCTCCGAGCCTAAGCCTGCCAGTAAGCCCAGAAAGGGAGACAAGAGCTCTGTGGCGCCTCAAAAGAACTCCATCATTGACTCGTTCCTGTCCGAGCCTAAGGCTGCCAATAAGCCCGGCAAGGGAGACAAGAAGGGGGGGTCCTTTCCCCGGTCAGGGTCGGTTGGTTCTAGCTCGGAGTCAATGGGGTCAGGTAAGGAGGGAAGGGAGGGGAGGGAGGGGAGAAAAGGGCAGGGGAAGGAGGGCACAGAGGGGAAGGAGGACAAACAGGGGAAGCAGAGGCAGGAGGAGGGGAAGAAAGGGCTTTATCTTCGGTCGGGATCGATTGGTTCTGGTGAATGTAGAGTGGAACTGAAGGAGGACGGGCGAGAAGGGCAGGGAAAGGAGGGGAAGGAGAGGAACGAGGGGAGGGATGGGGGGGAGGGAAAGGAGAGGAGGAAAGGGCTGTTTCCTCGTGTTGGGTCTAACGACGGGGAAGAAGGTTCTCGGAAGGAGGGTGCGGCAGTGTTGTCGCTGTTTGGAAGGATGGCGACTGGTAAATTCGCAAGAGCTGAGAAGCCCTCTGAGAAACAATTTTCTCAGCATGATTTTCCTCCGTCTTATCAGCAGAAGCAGCGAGAGCGCGAGGAGGAGGTAGGCAATGCATGCAATGGCTCAGAAGGCAAGGAGGAGAGGGAGAGGGATGGGGAGAAGCAGAAGAAAACAGGGACAAAACAGGGGTTCCTGAAGCGGCCTCTTAATCTCCTGCACAAGGGTAAAGCGGCCAGAGGAGGGGCAAACATTCCCCTCCAACCAGGTGTGCGGGAGGCACAAAGCACAGCTCCAGGGCAAGCCTGCAGCGGCAACAGTAACAGTAACATGTACAGTAACACTGGTGGTAGTGCTGATACATGGGATATATTGATGGTGGGTCCTAATGGGAGGGATCCTCTGAGTGAGGACGAGGATGAGTGTGAGAGGCTGGAGGAGGAGGAGGCGGACGTAGTTCGGCCGTTGGATCAGCCAAACCAGTGGTTTCAACAGCACCAAATGCGGCAGTCAAGGCACCAGTATCAGTAGTATCTTGCTATTCCATCAGTTATTGAATATGGTACGTTCTCTATGCTTATTACCGTATTATTGAAATGGAGTTATAGGTATGGAGTTAATCTAGCTCCAGCCTCTTACAAAAGATCCACAAATTATGGCGTGGGGCGTTTCCCATTGTAAGTGCAGTGCATGGTTTTATAAATGAAGTGATTATTCGTGTTTGTAGCTCTAAAGATTGTGGGGAGTGCCGGGACCGCACTAAAGCAATCCTCAACGATACCAGCTCGCCACGTGGACCACACCTTGTCTTTCTCGAAGGTGTGAATTGGTTCAGCTCCGCGCCTTCATCCGCTCCGCGCAATTGACACTTCACCCGCACTTTCCCCGCGCGTCTTTCTATATCACCTTCCCCCCTTGCGCGCACCCCCCTCGCAGGACCCCTCCGCCTCACTTCATTACCTCCTACCTTAGTTACCTCAGATTATCCCGAAGATAGTCCTGTCGAGTAGTTAGTACGGCAGTGGGTGACTCGTATTCCCGTCGGGCATCGGGCATTATTATCGCTTGACTTCTCTTTTTCTTGTCGCCTTTCCGCGCGATCCCGTCCCTCGGTGGCGGTGTAACGTCGGAGCATGGATCGCCTAGTGTGCCATTCCTCCGTTGCGCCGCACACACTCGCCACGCCGCTGCGCGCCGATTCACGCACGCGGAAAGGCGCGGTTGCAGCGGTTGCCGTGCCGCGATCCGCATCGAGAGTGAAGCTCGATGCGTACGAGACGAGCCGCGCGCACGTGGGCGCGAAGCAGCTGATGGGTCAGAGCCTCCATTCGGCGACGGAAGTGTTGCGATCACGACATGTGGTGGGATCGTGCGGAAGACGAGGAGTCGTCGAGATGGTGCGTTGCGTTGTAATAAAAGGAAACTTCGAAACAGTAGAAGGAAGTCCGTATCGCGCTTACGACACAGAAAACAGAAGCTGGCTTGTCGGCATTCCCGCGACCGAATCCTTGATTCAACCGGAACTGGAGTATAGCCCTGTGGCAGCGACCTTTCGCGAAGGTGCACGCAGTTACTATAAGAATTCGCGAAGGATGCCGCAGTTACAATTACCTTTCGCCAAGAGTGCTCGCTTTGCTACAGCAAGCTTTCGCGAATCATGCTCGAACCGTTACAGCTCTGGCACCGCAGCAAGGTTTGCCGCCAAATGGCCCGGCGTCCGGCAATTTCAAGGCTTAAACAAGCACGAGGGTTACAACAGCGGCAAGTCGGATCGCAGTTCCTAGCGACTCGCGGCGTTCTCAAAGGTCACGGAAATCCCAAGGTTCACTGACTCTCGAGGTTCTCGGTATTCCCATGATTCACGGCGATTCCCATCCCTAGGGTTAACTTCACTGCGTGCCGGGGCAAGGGAGGGGGCGCTACAGGGGAGCGGGGAGGGGCAGGGACAGGTGCAGGGCGAGGGGGAAGGGGAGGGAGTGGGAGGGGAGGAGGAGGATCCGTTGGTGCAGCACGTGGTGATTCGGCGCGACCTGATAGAAGCGTTGCAGTGGCCGCTGGGGTCGGTGATCACTCATGGCTGCCATGCGAGTGTGGTTGTGCTGTGGCAGCACCGCCATCACCCCAACGTGCTCAAGTACTGTGGCCAGCTCAACTCCATGCGCAAGGTGGGTGCGGCGATTCCGCGTGGGCATTGCTGCTCACACATTTGCTCAACAATTTGCACGCCTGGCCCTCAGGCACCCAGTGTGCCGAGACTGAGGTGCCTTGATATTAGGGTTGAGAAAAATAAATTGCGTTGGGTAGATATGCATGCTGACTGTGGCAGCACCACGACCACCACAACGTGCTCAAGTACTACGTCATTGATGTGCAAGGCGAGGACTTGTGCTCGCAAGCTCACTTTACAACTTGGACACGTGCTTCACCGTCATAGGGCACTGGCTGTTTCGAGCTTATCGCGCTCATCTTCTGTTTGCAGTTTTTTTTTTTTTTTTTTTTTTTTTTTTGGTATAATCTCGCATCTCCTGGTGTTTTTTAGGGTGCACTAATGCTACTGTTGGTAATGATCTTCGGTTTGAGTTTTTTTTTGTATAATCTCGCATCTCCTAGTGGTTTTGAGGGTGCACTTATGCTACTGTTACTGATTATCTGGTTTAGGATTTTTCTTTTGGTTTAGGTTTGAAAAAGGGTTTTCCGATGGTGTCACTCTGGAAAGCTGAGGTCCAGTGCCACTTCGTTGGAAGAATGAATGCTTGAGTTTACGGTTGTGTGGTGATAGTGTTTCCCAGAGCCCTGATACTGCTTCAACCCCTGCCGGTTATGTTCCCGCCCTGCTGCTGCAATTTAGATTTAGAGCCCGCTCTCGTTCCTTCATGTCCCTTCCGCTTCCGCAATTTAGTTTTTTTCTTCACAACCCTCTTTCCTCCCCCCAGGCACCTCACGTAGCGCATGACATGACACTTTTTCTATCCCAATGCCATGTCATCTCAGTCTAAGTTCAAACTTGCAGTTAACATCTGTAACTGACATTACGGCTAGGAGCCTTCAAATGTGGTACATTATCCGGCGAATCAGTCATGTTGTTGTTTCTCTAAACAATGATCCTCCCTGTTGTGGATCCCACCAGGTGACACTGGAGGTGAAGGGGGTGGTGCAGCTATTGAATCTGTCCAAGAAGCTGCAGGAGGCGGGTATCACTCACCGCGTGTGAATGGAGCAGCCTAAGAATATGCCCTCCTGCATCGCCACTCTCCCACACCCCAAGATTTTAGCAGTGATGCATAGCGAAATGATGATGGCTAGCAAGATGGGAAATACAAATGCTAAACCTAGAAAGTGTTGTACGCCCTACAGCGCTACTCACGATAGCCTATCAACATAATGTATAACATTTGACAAAACCCCATTGGCTAAGTGAGAGGCATCAAAACAAAGGAAACAATGGGTCACAAGACCAGTCAAGAGAAACAACAAGACAACGCTCAGGGTGCACTTCAAGATCACCAAACATTATGAGCATAAGCAAACGGCCACAAGGCCAGTTCAAGAGTTCACAATTATATATAGATGCAAGGACAAGGGAGGAAGGAACAAGAAAGAGTGCTACAGCAACCTAGCACCAGTGTCAACAAGGCCTAACTGCAGACAGAACCTGTGGTGGTCACTAAGCGCTAGGGCCTTGATGAAGATGTCTGCAGTGTTGGCCTCTGAGGCCACGAAGTCCGAGCAGGCATGGCCGCACCGCTGCAAATCTTGCAAGGGAAAGTACCTTACGTCAATGTGCTCCACTATGCTCTCTAGTCTAAGCTCTTGACACAGAAAGATCATGGCCTTGTTGTTAGCAGACAAGGTCAGTCCAGAGCGAGGCCGCTCACCAAGGTCAGTGAGCAAGAAGGTCAACAATCGAAGCTCCTGCGCAGCCATGGCACCAGCGTAGATCTTTGCCTCGGCACTAGACGAAGCCACAGACGACGACCGAGTAGATCTCCACAACACAGCTTCAGCGCCCAAGCTGAAGCAGTAACCCTGAGTGGACCTCTGTGTCTCCACGTTGTTGGCGTAAAAAGAGTCGCAGTGACCGGTCAGAACAACTGGCTGCCTCCCTCCAAGCACAAGCCCCATGCGTGGTGTAGTTGTCAGGTACTTCACCAACCTCACAGCAGCTGTCCGATGATCAGGTAGGTGTCTCCCAGTCGCAACAAAGCGACAGAGGATGCTGAGAGGAAAGGCGAGGTCCGGACGAGTACAAGTCATCACATACATGATGCAGCCCACAAGCTCTGCATAGGGACCACTAGACTCAAACGGCTCATCAGGAAAAGGGCCGGTGAGTCTGTGGTCAACGGCAAGAAGAGTGAGCTGTGTAGTGGAGTGGTGAAGCTCGAACTGCTAAAGGACATGCTGCACCATGTACGACTATGAGTGTGTAATGGTGCGAGAGGCTCTGTCCCTGGTGATTTGCAAGCCAAGGTAGCGGTGCAGTAAACCAAGGTCAGTGCACGTGTGTCTCTTCTGCAGTTCAGACTTCACCTCAGCCAGAGCCGTCCTGTCTACTTTCAAGTAACTGTCAGTAGAGCTACACTGTGAGATCCCCGATCGATCCTAGGGGGGGTTACAGGCGCGTTTGCCTGGGGGGTTATGGGCGCACTGGCCCGCTACTGAAACAAGCCCTTTTATCCCAATGGTCTAGTGGTTGGGATTCTGACATGGTATCAGAGCGGTCTCGAGTTCGAATCCCGGTGTATGCACATGTAGGCTGTTGCCACTGTGCTCAGTCCTGGGCCTCCCAGTGTGGGGGGGTGTCAGTAGAGCTACACTGTGAGATCCCCGATCGATCCTAGGGGGGGTTACAGGCGCGTTTGCTTGGGGGGTTATGGGCGCACTGGCCCGCTACTGAAACAAGCCCTTTTATCCCAATGGTCTAGTGGTTGGGATTCTGACAGTAACCACTGAATGTTATAAAGACCAAGTCATCGATGTAGACGAGAACGAAGAAAGGTGTGGGCCCAAAACGGACGAACAACGGCTGGTCTGCGGATGAACAACGAAACTCAAGGGTAGCAAGAGTGGTGCGCATCGTGTCGTGCCACTCATGGGGCGCCTGGCAGACCATAGACTGGTCGTCTTAGGCTCCACTGGGTTTCAGGCAGGAAAGTGCTAGTGAAGCCAGGAGGACGACGCAACCAGATCTCCTTGTGCAGGCTGCCCTGGAGAAAGGTAGTGGAGAAGTCGAGGGAGTACAGCTCGTAGTCTTGCTGTGCTGCAACGTAGAGTAACACCCAAAGAGTCGTCATCTTCAGGGTCAGGGCGAAAATATGGAAGAAGTTAACTCTCTCACGTTGGTTGAAACATCAGGGCATCAAGGCTCGCTCAGGGGAAAGGAGCATGGCACAGAGAGAGAGAGAGAAGCGGCTGCCAAGAACTCCAGCTCAAACTGCTTGTCCTCTAGGACATCACAGCTAAGGGCAAACTCACCCCCGGCGGACAGACGACGGGCTGGCGGAGCAGCCACTACACGCGTGGAAAAGTCAAGGCGGCGGGTGGCAGCAAAGTCAGCAAAGCGGCAGTAAGAGCCGAGACAGACGACGGAGAGGGTCGGTGACAAGAGAGGCGAGAACACGCGAGACAACATGACGAGCAGCACGGTAGTAGTCAGTGATAGGGTGAGAGGAGACAGTGAGAGATGACGTAGGAGGTGGCGGGAGAAGAGACACAAGCGGAGCACGACAAGAACTAGAACGAAACAAGGCAGCCCCCTCTGCAGACAGTGCGCCCCGTAGACCGTGCGCTCCGCAGGTTTCGCGTCCCACAGGTAGTGCGCCCTGCAGTTATCTGTCAAACATATATAATATAGCCTGTGTAGGCTGTAGTGGGGTAGACATTATGGGGTACAGCTTTTCTAGGTTTTCATACTTGTACCGATCTCCTTTCTAGTCACACATTCCATTCCTCATACTTTTCTCACATGGTATAGAGCGGGTTCCCTAGTGGGACCGTTTTTTTTTTAGGGCCACCACTTAATTTGTTTTTTTCTGCCCTGCCCGAAGGGCGCATCGCGCTCTGCCTTACTGCCGCCGTCGCGGCCCTACCCACTAGGCCCGTCGCGCCCTTAGCGGCCCGCCTTGCTGTCGCGGCCCTTAGCGGCCCGCCCTGTCGCCCTTAGCGGCCCGCCCTGTCGCCCTTAGCGGCCCGCCCTGCCGCCCTTAACGGCCCGTCGCCGCCCTGGTGCGAACCGCCCTGCCGCCCTTAGCGGCCCGTCGCGGCCCTCAGCGGCCCTTAGAGGCCCGCCCGCCTCGTCGTCGCGGCAATGCGCGGCCCGCCTGCCCGTCGTCGCGGCCCTCCACGGCCCGCCCGCCTCGTCGTCGCGGCCCTACCCTACCCTGCCGCGGTCCTGCCTTGTCGCGGACCTGCACTGCAGTAGCCGCTTGGCTCCCGACCGGCCCTGTCGCCTCGTCACGACCCCCTGCACTGCAGCCACGTCGCGGCCCCTGCCCTGCCAGACGCGGCCTTGCTCCTGCAGCCGTGTCGCGGCCCAACTTGTCGCGGCCCCTGTCCCGCCTGCGCGCCCCGGCCCTGCCCCACCAGTTGCGGCCCTTCCACCGCTCCCGCTCCTGGTAAGCACACCGCCGCGCCCGCGCCGCACTGCCGAGCTGCGCCGCCCTGCCGAGTCGCGCCGCCCTGCCGAGCCGCGCCGCCCTGGCGAGTCGCGCTGCTACTACTGATGCTGCTGCTAGCACTTCTGCTGCTGTTCGTGCTATCATGACTACCCCGAATGTACTTACCTTCGATACTGAGGGTCGAGCGGTTGACTTCGAGGTCTGGGTCTATGATCTGCAGCTATTTCTGCAATGCAATTCTAGGGACGGAGTCTCACTGTTCGATCTCATGTCCGGCGTCTCTGTTGCACCTGCTGCCAATGCTCACTGTGCTGTTCGCTCGCAACAGACCAAGCGCGATGCTGCTGCCCGACTTGCTGTTCGTAGTCACCTGCCGTCTGCTGAGCGCGCGCACTTTGGCCAATACAAGACCGCTAGGACTCTGTACGACGCTGTTGTTGCGCGCTACTCTTCCCCTGCCACTGCTGCCCTTAGCCGCCTCACGCTGTCGTACCTGTTCCCTGACATAGCTGCTTTTGCCACAGTCGCTGACCTCATTACGCACCTCCGCACTAGTGACACCCGCTACCAAACTGCGCTTCCTGCCAAGTTCTGCGCCAAGAACCCCCCCCCCCTATGTACATCACTCTCTACTACCTCGTCACCCGGCTCCTTGACTCCCTTCGCTTGGTCAGGGACCACTTCCTCTCCCTTTGCCCCACCACGCTCACCGTTGACCTCCTTGAGGAGCGCCTCCTTGCAGCTGACAAGAGTATAATCGCTGTAGGAGCCTCTCGTGGTGACCCTCGTGCCCCTTTCTTTGAGGGGTGCTCCCTCGTTCCCCTTTTGCCTTCTGTTGCCTCTGCTGCTGCTGTCGACCTCGTTGGCAACGAGTCGGTCGACGCTGCGTCTGCTCCTAGTGGGAGGCGCCACAGCGGCAAGAGCAAGGGGGGAGGTGGGGGTGGTGGCGGAGTGGGGGCTTCGGTAGCGGAGGTGGGGGTGGAGGCGGCGGTGGCAGCGGCAGTGGAGGTGGCGGTGGTGCTGGTCAAAGTGGCGCTATGCAGCGTGGAGGCTTTGGTGGTGGCCACCGCCAGCAGAAGCAGCGTTCTCGTGAGACCCTGTCGCCCCAGGAGCTTCGTGAGTGGTACGCTGGGCGTTGGAGGTCTGGGGGTGCTGGTCCCTGCGCTTACATTCTCCGCACCGTCGAGCGCAGTGGGGAGACGTGCGGAGGGCCGCACGCCACGCAGCGCTGTCTTGGTCGCCTGACTGACGCCTGGCGTACACAATTTCCTGATGGCACTGAGATCCCGCGCTAGGGTGATCTGCTTAAGTCGGGGGTTGCTGTCTTTGATCTTGATTATGATGCTATCCTTGCTGCTATGTATGCTGTGTCTATTAGTGCTGAGGGTGACTGTTACCTGTGTGTTCCGCCCGACCCGGGCATTGAGGCTGCTGCTCTAGGTGCTGGTCAGTCTGCTGCCCCAGGTACTGGTGAGTCTGCTCTCTAAGGTACCGCGTCGGCTCAGGCCTTACACACCTTCACCCTTGACTCGGGTGCTTCCCACTCCTCCTTTCGCAACTGCACCACACTCTTGCCGCTCAGTCGGCCAGTGGCAGTCTCTCTGGCTGACCCCTCCGGGGGTCCGGTCCTTGCACACTCCTCCACGGTCCTGCCGTGTCCGGCGGTCCCGTCTGGCTCTCTGTCTGGCCTCCACCTCCCCTCATTCTCCACGACCTTGGTGAGTGGAGCTGACCTTCAGGACGCGTGGGTTGAACAGTTCACTCCTGGAGATCAGAGAGTGACCCACTGTTCGTGTACTCGGAGAGGCCGGCACCTGGCCACGTTCACCTGTCAGCCTGGGTCGAGCCTGTACACTCTGACTACCGTGTCTCCTCCGGTTGCTGAGTTTGGTCAGGTAGCTGCCTTGGGTCATGTGTTTGCTGCAGCGTCCCGGTCTAGTCCAGGGTGTGCCCCCTCCTCGTGTCGCCTCCTGTCTCACCAGACTCTCCTTGGGCACCACCGCCTTGGTCACCACTCCCTGCCTCGTCTCTTACGCATGGCCTCCCGTGTCCTTGTTACTTGTCTTCCCCGGTCTCTCCCTCCCCTACCCCCCGGGCCTGCCCCTACCTGCGTTCCTTGCGTCGAGGGGCGGCAGCGCGCTGCTGTGAGAGTACGACAGCTTATGCCAGCTATGCTTGCTTGCCTCTACTTTATCATGCTATTTCTAGCATAGGATAATCATATGCATGCATGAATTGCTTGATTTCCTAGGCTAGGTGCTTTCCTATATTTTATTATAGTTATAGCACCGAGCTAGGTTACGTGCACCGAATTCTGGCTTTTCGGTTGCCACCGAATTGCCTTCTACCGAATTCGGTAAGGATCCGTTCGGGACGCTACGCGGCCCGCGGAACCTTCGCGTAACACCTGGTTACGGGGTTTTGTGTCGAGCCTATATATAGCCTCGTGTTGTACCCAGGTGGACATTCAATTCAATTCAATTCGACTCAATTCTCATTCTCTTTTCTGAACTCGATCCTAGATCCTCACACTTGGTAATCAGAGCGGGTTTACACGCGAGGTCTTCAACCGCTTAGTTCCGGCCTTTAAAAACCGTGGGGGCGACGACGAAAGCGCCGATACGGGTATGTAAAACCAGTTCCGCGCAATTTTTCTAAGTCCTCCTCGATTCGGTTTTCGAACACCCCTCAGATTTACTTGTGGAAAGGTTGGAGTTTTGACCGTTCGATCGAGTTTCATCTCAACGGCCCAGAGAATTTCGCCCAAAAAAGTTGGAATTTGGAGCGTCGGATCAATTTTCTCCTCAACGGCCAAGATCGGACGCGAATTTCGCCTAAGGGAGATTTACGCAACCTATAGAATTCGCGCTCGTCGATTCTACAGTCAATTTGACTCGCAGTAAGTCGACCAGCACCTAGAATTCGATTATTTTTGTCGCGCATCTTCCTGTAAATCACCAAATGGAGGGCCAAGGCGACAACTACGCGACTACGTGCGACATTGCGAGCCTCCGCACCGACATGGAGCAGACGCAGGCGACGCTTCGTCGACTCGAGGCTTTTCTAACAAGCCAACCAGGGTTCGCCACCGCAGCAGCAGCGACCACAGCGGCTGCAGCACCGACATCTAAAGGCAGCAGTGGCGACACCGACATTTCACGGACCAATGGCACCACTGTCGCCGAACCTCGAAGCAGCACGACCGAGGCTCCCGGAGGCGTTCGATCCAAGCGCGAAGGGATCCGACGTCCGGCGATTCATGGCCACCCTCGAAATTTACTTCGAGGCCATTGGCTGTTCGACCCCGCAACACGACGCAGCAAGGATTCGGCTCGCAGCGACACTGTTACGTGGACCGGCTCTCGAATGGATTTACTAAACCGACGTAGCCTGCGGGGAGAAAACGTGGCAGCAGTTTCGGGCAGATTTAATCGAGCGTTTCGAACCAATTAATACAACCTACATGGCGCGGCAGCAGATACACCGACACAAGCAATACAGTAGTGTAACACAGTACACGCAGCAGATGGAGTTACTGTTCAACCGCATCACCGACCTGACCGAAGGCGAAAAAATCCAGGCGTACACCGAAGGATTAAAAATGGAGATTCGGCGGCAGGTGATTGCGGCGAATTACAACAGCTACAGAGACATCGTGCGTGCTGCCGAGCGATACGACGCGCTGACTCGAAGTCAACCCGAAACACGACGCTTCACGCCGAACCGTACATTCGGCACGGAGCGATCGGCACCCCCCACGTTCACCGAACCGATGGATATCGACAAATACGACGCGAAGCAGCAGCCGACAAAATGCGAATTTTGCGGCGTAGAAGGACATCAGTTTTTGTCGTGCTACAAAATGAAGAAAGCACGTGCGGCACTCCGGGACGGAAACAGTGGAGCACCCCCGAATTAAAAAAACGGGAATCGCCAGTAGCCGCGGATCGACCTGGCGATCGCGTAAAGATCCGAAAAGCAGGAAAAGGCGACGACGTGGCGACTTCGGAGCAGGTGAAAAAAGGAGAAAATGATGGCGCGAATTTAAAACGTCACGACCGGCCGGCATCAGGGGAAATCGCCGAGGCGAATGGAGGCTCCGCGAAAAAAGACTCTGCACCGACCGGGAAACTCCAGCCGAACACCCACGAAAGTAAGAATTTGTTAAAAGTATCCTATAAAGATGCTCTAACGAAGAATATTGCTTCTCGTGGTTTACAAGCCTTCAAAAAATTCAGTGGAGGTCTAGAGGCCAAGAAAAAGCCTTTAGAAATTATTCAGGTACCTGAGAAGTTGGGCAAAATACTACGGAGCGTAGAGAAGGGTCATGCGTTCCGTAGAGTTAATATTCTCTCCCCGCAGCACAGTATTAAGGCTCCCCGTCGCCCATAGGTGAAGCCTACACAGCTGCCAAGGCTTAGAGGAGACATCCAGGCTCAGGAAAAATTATACAAGCCTCGGAAAAATCCTCCTACCCCCCAGGTGAAGTTGGAAAGCGCAAAGTCAGGTATAGGAAAAAGGGAAGGTATTAAGTTCGATGTACCCTATGATCCTATTAACGAGACCCTCTTTGGCTACTCAGCACAGCAGAAACCACTACTCCTCGAGGTGTTATGCAATGGGCGACGCCTCCAGGCACTGGTGGACAGCGGTGCATCTCACTCGGTGTGTGACTGCGGAGCATTGGAGAAAATTGGAGAGAAGGCGGAAGAGACCCAGTTTTCAGCAACCATGGTGGACGGTACGAAGCTTCCTATCCACGGCGAAGCATCACTGCAACTGCATATAGGTGCGTTGAGGTGGAAGCCGAAGCTACCAGTGACCAACATCAAAGGATTAGATTTTATCTTGGGGCGAGATTTCCTGAAGCAGTTCAACCCCGAGATCGATTGGGTCAACAGCAAGGTGTGCATCTACAACAACGGGAAACGAGTGGAGCTGCGAAGATGGACGGATACAGGGGACATACCTGAAACGACACTGGCACGGTTCGAACAGACGGTGAACAAGAGTAACACGTGTTACCTAGCACTGGTTATGGCAGCAGCAGAGGAGGAGAAGCCGAGTTCCGAGCTACCTGCAGCAGTGAAAGAGGTCTTGGAGCAGTTCAAGGATATAATGCCCAACGACCTACCTGCAGGCGTACCTCCAGCACGCACCCACGAGCACGAGATCGTGGAGGAACCAGGTGCGAAACCCGTCTCACGTGCACCATACCGACTGAGTCCGACTGAACTGACAGACATGAAAAAACAGATAGAGTATCTACTGGACAGACAACTGATCCGCCCATCCACCTCTCCCTACGGCGCACCAGTTCTCTTCACTCCAAAACCAGACGGCAGTCTACGGATGTGCATCGACTACCGCGCACTGAACAAACAGGCAGTCAAAAACAAATATCCCATACCGCGCATAGACGACCTACTCGATCAACTGCGTGGAGCAACAGTATTTGCGAAGCTGGACCTACGATCGGGCTACTGGCAGATCAAGATGGCAGACAACTCTGTCCACAAAACAGCGTTCCGTACCAGATACGACTCCTATGAATACTTGGTGATGCCGTTCGGACTCTGCAACGCACCAGCAACATTTCAGGCGGAGATGAATCACATCTTACGACCCCTGCTAGACGAGTGCGTGGTGGTGTACCTGGACAACATTCTCATCTACTCCAAGAACATGAAGGAGCACGTGGAGCATCTGCGGAAGGTGTTCGAGATAGTCATAAACTACCCCATTCACGACAAGGAAGCCTTAGCGATAGTCATAACCTTCAAGGCGTGGAGGTGTTACCTAGAGGGAGCCAAGACTACAGTCTATACTGACCATTGCAGTCTCAAATAACTGAAGTCACAGCCGACACTCTCACGACGACAGGTGCGGTGGATGGACTTCCTGGAAACTCACTTCCACTACGACATCGTCTACAAGCCCGGGCTACACAACAAGGCAGACGCGTTGAGCCGCCCCGGACATGTAGCAGGCATCCAGCTCGACGGGATGAACCCTCTGCTCAAGGGTCTATTCCAACATGGGTACTCCGTGGACGCAGAGATTGCTACAGCACAGACCAAGAAGCTATTACAGTGGGAGAAAGACTTAGCTATAAGGAAGGGTTCAGGAAAGATTTGGGTACCGAATTACGCCTCGCTACGGTAGATCCTATTGGAGGAGTTTCACGACGTACCTTACGCGGGACATTTCGGGAGCAACAAGACGTTAGCAGGGATAGCGAAGTATTACTACTGGCCCGGGATGGGAGCAGACGTGCAGCAGTTCGTCACCTCTTGCGACACGTGCCAGCGGATGAAGAGCAGCAAGCAGAAAAAAGCAGGGTTACTTCAGCCTCTACCCGTACCGGAGCAGCCATGGCAGGTCGTTAGCCTCGACTTCGTCACAGGGCTTCCTTCGACCTCACGAGGACATGATTCCATCCTCGTGGTGAGCGATAAGTTCTCCAAAATGGGTCACTTCATACTGACCAACGCCACAGCTACAACTGAAGCAACAGCTCGACTCTTCTTCGACCGCATCATCACCATCCACGGCATCCCCGCTACACTCATCTCAGACAGAGACCCCAAATTCACCAGCAAGTTCTGGAAGGAGCTCATGGGATTATTGGGGACCAAACTTGCAATGTCTTCAGCATACCACCCCCAGACTGACGGACAGACAGAGCGACTCAATCAAGTGGTTGAACAGTTACTGCGCACAGCTTGCAAGGACGACGTCAGCCACTGGGACACACGAATACCAACCCTAGAGTTTGCTTACAACAACGCATCACATGCGGCCACAGGGGAAACTCCTTTCTTCCTGTGTTACGGACGGGAACCACTCACACCACAGCAGCCAACTACACCGGCACACGTCCAAGCCGCACATGACTTCGTCACCACCATGCAGCAACTATGGGAGAAGACTGAGCGACGTCTCACCACGATGCAGAACTCCCAGAAGCAGTATGCCGATCGACAGCGACGTGACCACTCAGTAGCAGTTGGAGATCAGGTGCTTCTTGACACGTGCAACTTGAACCTGTCTCACCTTCCATCCAAACTCCGGCCTCGCTTTTGTGGTCCTTTTCTCGTTGAGGCACAGGTGACACCAGTTACATTCCGCTTGCGCTTACCAGATAC